TATGGAGCATATTGAAACATGTGAATATTTTTATCCATATCAGCTACAACAAAATATAGTGCTGGCTCATCTATCAAAAAACTTAAACAACTAACTTCCAAAGAATTATAATCTTTGCCAACTAAAACCAATTTTGCTGGTTCTTCCTATAAAGAAAAATATAATTATTTAACATAAAATTTTGGTGTTAATAAAATTTTCAATCGTCAATAAACTCATACCTGAAATCCAAGAAACCATACACTTTTATATACATCTCCCAATAGTATAAAATCTTTAATTGATACTACATTACTTGCATATAGTTGTATATCAATAAATGCAACACTAATAAGACAATCATTATCTTCAAAGGCACGTATAAATATCTTTAAAACATCAAAAAAGTAAATATCTTTAACTTGAATTTTTGAATTTTTTTTTTTTAAATAGAGAATATGTATTTCAATACCTTTGGCCCAACACATGTTAATAAATATCCATTTACATCACAAATAGTAGTTACGGAGCCTTTAACTTCTTCAGCACAAAGTAATTTAAATTTATGATTTGTTTGAGGATTATCAGGTTCCGGTACAACTTCAATAATTTCAAATACATATATCTAAATCAAATAATTCAAATGTTGGAGAAAAATTTGATTAATTTGTATATACTTGAATAATATATAAATATATAAATATATATATATATATGTGAATATCATATGAATGTTGTAAATATTGTATTATGGTTTATTATTAATAGATAATAATTAAAAATAAAATATTCTATTCTTTTCTCTGATTATTAGATTAATCTAAAATCTTTTAAATATCTCTTTCTAAAATATTTTCCTCGCACTGATTAATAAATATTAAATAGAAGGATACAATCCAGCAACTATCCAGGGGTCAATTTCTTTTGGTTGATTACTTTCTATTTCTATTTCAATACGTGGGAAATCTTTGTACAAGCATTGTTTTATATGTGTGATTTTTGTTAACAAGTAAGCCAACAAAAGATCAGTCGTTATATATGTCAATATTATGAAAATCTTTGGTAAATAATTTAGTAGATGAAAAAATGCTAGGAAAAGTGGTGCCTAAATAAAAATGTAAAAATATTAGTATATAATAATATTTTATAAATATGTATATATACACATAATAAGTTACTTGGTGAAAAACTCCTCCATCATATGGTGGAACACCATGTTCAAATAAATATAACCCTTCAGTTACTAATAATTTACATATAACATAATATTAATACGATATTAATATTAATATTAAATTGAATATTATTAAACCTTACATCGAGTAAAACTTGTTACAGGAGTAACA